TATTAAGGGAAAAAAAATATGCAAACCTACCTGCCCTACGTGAAAAATTTGCTGCAGTATTTGGACGACTTGCCTTAGCTGAATGAACCATGAACTCTGCTCTCTATCAGAAAATCCTGAAGGACAATGTCCAACCATCATTTCATGCCCTGAAACTCAATCACACTTGGCTTATGCAGGAGCACAATGATCCAAAACACACCTTAATGTCCATCTTTGAATGGCTAAAAATGACAAAATTAAGGTTTTGGAGTTGCCTAGTCAAAGTCCAGACTTAAACAGGACTTATCTTAAACAGGCTGTGCATGCTGGAAAAACCTCTAGTGTGGGTGAATTAAAACATTTCTGCAAAGAACAGTTGGGTCTGATGGCGAGTTTGAAAAACTCATTGCCTATTACGGCAAACTGTTGATTGCGGTTCTTGCTGCCAATGGTGGCACAACCAGTTATTAGGTTTCAGGCAATTACTTTTTCATAGAGGGCCAGGTGGGTTTGGACGTTTTATTCCCTTAATAAATCATTTAAAAACTGAATTTTGTATTTGTTTGAGTTATCTTTATCTAAATGTTTAAACATTTTTCAAAATCAGAAACAGGTAAGTGTGACAAATATGCAAGAAAAGAAATCAGGAAGGGAGCAAATGCTTCTTCACAGCACTATATATTTTCTAATCTCTTAAGGCAGCAGTCCAGCACATTTGCAGGGTCCACATTTTAAATGTAAAATGTGCTGAATCTGTTCCTACCAGGTGCAGGAGGTCCAGGGAGAATATGTGGATACTGCAGGTCACGGTGGACAGGGTACAAATGATGGTGGAGAGAATGCTGAGACCACACGCACTGAACAAAAGGTCCTGTATAGACGATGCATTCAAAAGAAAACAAAATCTTGGTTTATGTAATCTTTTATGTGGAAAATGGATTTCCAGTGTGGTCAAAAAATATTCTACCTACCTTCAGCTGTTTTCTGACTGAGTGGCACCCATTATCCTGGTTGAGGACCAGCTTTTCCTCATCTGTGGAGCAGGGGTCTGTGCGTGCACAGCACACACACAGACCATTTTCCACCTAAACACATTGGATTGGTGTAAAGCACTAATCGGTAGACCAAAAGTGGATATTTGCAGCTATTCCTGTCACGTTTTCCATGCATCTAAGCATGAAGGTAGAAGACGAAGCTTGCATAATATTGCTCACTGTACCTGGCAGGTGAGCATGGACTTGACCATCTGTGCATTCTGACAGGACAGCATTGAGCCAGCTAGACTGAGTATCACACACACTGCAGACAGCAGCATAAACAGTGACACCTGTGGAGATACACAGAGATGACGTTTGAGTTAGAGTGTGGCATTCAACCAAAGACCACAGCAGGATATCTCATGGTTCAAGATGCTTTCAACCAGAGTAAAGAACATGTTCAATGAAAGTGCCTGTTTTAGATCCTGGTCCTGTTTTCTGTCCTGAATGCACTGAAATCTTAAGCCTGCTAAGTGTTTTACTTCATGTGCACAGTGTAATCAAAATATAAAATATGATAGATTTTTTCATGCAGATATAGAATTGTTTAAACCACATAGTGACAAAACACCCCAGTACAAAGACCCTCAATTATCAGTTATGTAAGAATGCACATTTTAAACTCCCACTTTTATGCCAAAAAGGATGAAAAGTTTGAAATTCTCAGAAAGATTTGATGCAATGTGCTACACATACCACCAGCGTCAGAGGTCTCCTCCATGAGATTATTCCAACAATCCCCGATGCCACCACCTGGAAACAAAAAGCATGTGCACCATGAAATACCTCCTTTAGTATATCTGCTGTAACATACTGTTGTTTGTTTTCAGTACGAGTTACACTTACAAAGAAACCAGCCCAGAATGGACAGGACTGCCTTACGCGGGGAGTGGTGGTGAAGGCCATGCTGGTGAAAGAGAAGGCCAGGACCATTGCTCCCAAGCCCAGGTGGCAGAGCCCCAGGTAAAGGAGCAGTCGGGCTCCACCAGGCCCCCGGCCAGACATGCCCCTGCGGCTGTCTGACCAACCCCGGGACCCAGAGGCTGAAGCCACGCTGCTAGAGTCTGAAGGTGAAGGCATGTTTGGCTTGTGGAGGAGGCAGGGAAAGGGTTTACGCTTACAGCGGGTTCATAAGACAAGTTGTGTGGGCAGAAGCACAGGAGAGCAGGAGAGAGAGAGACATAAATGCTGGCTTCAGAGCTCTGCTCTGTCACAGTTATGCACCAAATTCTCCACTGGCAGGTTCTGCGCAATGTCCCATGGTGCACACTGTAGTCCAGCCAGTGAGTCCAATAACTTTGTCAGCAGAAAGTTGAAAAAATGAGCTGCTACCACACAGTCGCAGGCACCATACTCACCTCATCTGATGTTTCAGCTTTTATACTTTTAAGTCCACACAGCGTCTCTTTCACCCCACTCAGTTCAGAAGCCAATGTAGCTTATATAGTACAGTCTACGCCATTCTGCTGCCCAGCCATTCTTTGATTATAACGCTAACAGGCAAACTGGGCAATTCGTTTTCCTTTTAAATCTTCACATTATTGCTATTATTACTCATTTGCTTTTTGCTGCTTCCTCCTCTCCACCTCCTCTCGTCCCTCTCTCCCTCCTCTAGCCCGTGGCATTGCGGTAACTGGAGACCCGAGCAGGCCGCAAATTCTAAAGCATCTCAGAGATAGCAGCTGTTCGCTTGTAGTTTTACTCCTAGCAGAGGCGGCATGTGGGGGTCAGTCCGTGCGTCCAGTCTTGAGGAACATCATCTGAACATGTGCGCTCCCCTCCCGCGACCTTTTTATCAGCTCCTTATCCTGTCACGGAAGAGAAAAAAAGACGGCGAGGAGATCAAAACCCTAAGATCACCCTAAGACTAATTAGCTATCCCGGCATGAACAGGAAATAAATGTTCCATCGATTTTCAAACTGCACCAAAATAGCAGCCAGGCTGGAATATTTACCAGCAGACTATCTATCTTTGTTAACTCCACCTCGGAGGTTTTTGCGGCGGTCCACACAAGCACCTAGACTCCCCTCCTCCTCTTGTTCTTCCTCCTCCGCCGCCTCTTTCCTCCCTGCAGTCACGCGGGCATCCCGTGTGTTTGTGAATGTGTGTATGTACCACCGACGTTTACCTCACAGCCTTTCACCAGACATCACACTAATACAGCCGCTTAGCCTTCCCGTGCCCCCTCATAGCACAGCAACTTAAGTTTATCTTTCATTATCGTGTTTGCTCGCCCCTCCCCTCTGCTGCCCTCGCATCTCTTCCTCTGTTTCCAAGCCGAGCTGTGACTCTGGCAGAGGAACGGATCGTGTTTGCAAACCACAACCTGCCCTATACGTGATGACAAGGCACGCAGAACGTGCAGCCAACTCGGTGATGCGGCAGAGAGCGTTAACACAGTCCTGGTGCTGATGCTGGGAAGGAGGGGTGGTTGCCTAGCGACAGGATCCAGCTTTTACTGCTGCAGCGACGATTAAAACAACAACAACAACACACACAAAAACCCGAAGCAGTTGCTGTTGGCAGGAGAGTTAAAAAAGAAAGAAAGAGAAATAGACGGTGGCAGAGATTCTTTGTAGTGAGAATGTGTGTCCTGTAGGTGGCTCGTCTAAAACAACCAGCGATGTGTCTAGCATATGTAATGTTTCTTGTTCGTTCAAAGACCCTCATAGTGACTAACAGATCTCGGTGTCAGATTCTCAAAATAAATACTACGGGACTTACAGGACGTTACCATTATACTTGGATGATAGATTTTCACAGTAAAAGCCCTAATTTTTGTGTGTGTGGAATGTCCAGTATGCTTTAACCACAGACAAAATAAAAGATGGATATATCTTCCAGGTCGGAAAAACAAAGCCCATGTGGAAGTGTTGAATACTCTGAGAAGGTGATAACTTTCAAAAACACTTCCTGTTCTATAGAAGTCACAAAACTGCTTTCTAACTTGATCTCTGCCAACAGTTTCCTGCTGAGTTTAAAGGCTTGGCCACTCATGTGGGGTCGTATTGAATAATAATAATTTTTAATGAGTGTATTTTGTAAGTCGTTGTCATATTATGTCTCAAAATAAATCTGTGGTGTGAAACCACAGCTCATTGGCAAACAATTTCTTAATCTCAAGTCCTTAGCCAATGAGCACAGTTTCACAGTCAGTCATCACATCACATCATTTTTCTTTTTCTTTTGGAAACCAAGATGGTGATAGCAAATCTCAAGGCTTCACAAACCGGTGGGTGATGCTATGGTAGCTATGTGCATCTTTTATACTCACTATGGCTTAAATGCATTTGAAATTTCCAAAATAAAAGCCCCCCCACTCAGGTATGTCAGACAGTGCCCCCCCAAAAAACCCCTAAAATAAATAAATAAATTAAGTCCCCCAATTTTAAAGAATGCTTTAAAATGTGCTTTTGAAAAATTAAAGCCACCACTTACTTGTTGAATATCATGAAATTGCTTTCACACTGAAGAATTTTCAAAACAAAACAAAAAACCCCACAACAGAGTTTTATAACCTATGTCCCTCTTTTCTATGAAGTCTATGGACTAGGACACAGAGTTTAACATCGCTTAATTGATGTCATTTAAGGTATTTAATTAAAGAAAAAAAGATGTTCTGCCTAGCTAAGTCTTTCACAATACAACACTGTATCCATATTTTTCCTAATTGATAACATTATGATTTTCAGTATTGAAATTGTGCAGCTGTCATTTCACTATTTCACATATCTGGGATCACTGCTCTGTTCCTGAGGTTTCCTTCATTTTTTCCCTTTAAATGGATTCTGAGGGGAGCTTTTCCCTTATCGAGATTGAGAATCTAAAGATAGAGGATGTTGGATGCTGTACAAACTGTAAAGCCCCTTAAGGCAAATGTGAATACAGAGAATAACATTTATGACAATGCTAAACCAGGAAAGAAAAACTATTGCGTCACTGTACCAACAGGAACTTAAAAAAATACAACAAACAATATATTTATAGTTTTGCAATTTTATTCATCAAGCGTCAGGTCTTGCATACAATCTGGCAGGTGTAAGAAAACTAACAATGTGGAGGAAATTACAAAAGAAAACAGAAATTTAGAGCGTGTGTGTAGAGAAAAAAAAAGATCTGTCAGAATCAGATGAAGACCTGCAATCGGTTATTTTGAACGATCATCAAACTGCCTGAACAGAGAGGCTGCCATGTCAGATGTCGCTAATATGTGGTAGCGTTTAGTAAGAGCTTTCCCAGGCACTTCAGATAAAAGGCAAGACCCACTAAATCAATTCGCTATGAGGGACACATGAACACGCTGCTGCTTCCTAGGCTTTTACATCCTGCCCATTCACTTGCTTAATCCATCTTTTTTTTTCCCATCTCTCCACTCATCTTCTCATATTGCACTTATCACTGTCCATATCTAATATCTATATCCACATTCTCAATCCATTCATCTATTAAAACAAGGCGTTGTTTTACACAGAACTTGTTTCATATTCAAGTCCAGCGACCAACTTGTTTCATCATTAATGTGTACGTCATGTTTTTACCTTCGCTCTAACAATTCTGGTCATTTTATCATTTATAACTTAAAGCAGACCTATCATGCTTTTCCTTTTTGTTATGCATATGCCACTGTGCTAATGCCAAAACTTATAATAATGAGGTCACTGTTTTTGCAAGCAATTCATGTGAGCCAAAAACTCAGTTTTATACATGTCAGAGCCCACATATTCCTTATGTGGGCTTAAAGGGAAGGTCTGCACAAAGGTCACACATTTAAAAAAAGGTGTGAATCATGTAAAGCTACTTTAGCAGAGACCAAGACAAAAAAATATGAATTTGCAAATTTGCATAATAGGTCCTCTTTAATAAATTTGAATTCCCCAGTAGTATTTAAACCTCAATTTCTCAGATGCTTATGACCACTTGAACTCTAAATAAAACCCTGTGTCCATCAAGTGAATCAAAACAGACCACATTAGTGTTTTACGGCCAACTGAGCTCCATAAAGCTACTCCTGCACATGCTCACACATTAGAAATGAATGAAATGGTAGCATTAAGAGACAGCTGCAGTTCTTTTAAGTGCTGGTGTGCTGTTGTAGGAACGATAACGTAAGCGAGAAAGATATACGGTCAGTGACAGCAATGTGTGCCATGGTGGGGACCTTTTTTTTTTTTTTTTTTAAAGGTCTCGGAGTCAGACTCCAACTTTTTGTGGAATCATGTTTATCGCAGTAGATGTCACATAAAGGATATGTTCAGTCTGAAAAACTGGGGCTGCTTTATCCATATATTATTTTGGAGACAGCAGAATTCTTGTGGAAGAACTTATAAAGGGAGTATAGTGTAGTTTAACAGAGCTTTAGCACCTCTCTGTCGTTGATATTTGCAAACCCTGCCACATTTTTCCTTGTCAACACAGGCGCTCCTAAGTTTCTATGTTCTTTCTTCCATACACTAGTGAAATCATGTCTAGAGAAGAACGCACTTGGAGGATTTTTTCTCTGTGCTGCTGGTGATTTTCACCTGTTGACCTCTGGGGCCCTGACAAACAAACAGACGAAAAAATTACGTTACCGTCATACAGTATGTAGAGCATGCAAAATTACTCTTTATAGCGCTGCATTACTGATCTTGTGTTTTGGCTTACTGGCTTCTTGCTGGATTGTTGTAGTATGTCTCGTGCCAAAGCCAGAAAAGACTGCAGGACAGATAGATTGAAACACAGAAAGAGAGAAAATATAGGTCTGTTGCATATTAACACACAACAAACATTAACAAAAGAGCTATAATAAAACAAGCTCAATGTATGGAGAAACTGCTCACCTCCTCGACATTAATGCTGGACTTCGCACTGGTCTCAAAGAACCTGATGCCGTGATCTTTGGCCAGCTGTTAACATTAGGAACAGAGATGGTTACAGGAGGACAGGATATGGGTAATAATCACTTCCTGGGTTTTATCTCGAGTAAATTTAGCAACTTTGACCATTTCCCAAGCATTCCTGTCCGCTAAAGTTTAACAGGGAGGAATCCATGCAATATTCTTTCTCAAAATGAAATCTTTGCAAAGTAGCCCCACAAATGATTAATTTTGAATCCATCTACTCATGTGTATCTTACCCTGGATGATAGTTTAACTACCATCAAAGTAAACCTACACCTCTGCTGTTTCATTACAAGTAAAAAAAACGCAAGCGACATCTTACCTTTTCTCCTGTCTCCTTGGAAACTTTCCGCTTTGTCTCAATGTCACACTTATTACCTAGTAACATCCGACTGACCCCAGCTGATGCATTCTGGGAAAGAGGGAATGTGATTAACTGATCAAAATGACTTCAACAAAGTGAAAGAGAGCACAGAGAGCAAAAACCTCAACAGAGACACTAATAGCAGCTGTTTGTCAGCAGAGCGGTTTCTCCCTTTAAACCAAGACCATTTCCCTGAAATGCTCCATTGCCATCTTTCCGCAGTTCGTCAGTGCTGCCGTCTACAGTTTGTTTACAGGCAAAACAAGCAAAACAAATCTCTCAGAGTCGCTGACAACTTGCGGGCCACAAATACATGAAATCATAACAGTTGCTTTATGAAAATGTGACTGAATCATTCATATGTTTAACAGCTGTGAACAGACTGAAAAGCGATTTTCAGTTCAGCTCAGTTGTGATGCTTACATGAAAGTGTTTAAAAAAAACAAAAAGAAAATGAAGAAGGTAAGCAAGCGCCATGTATATCTGTAAACAATGACACTGGTTACGCATTTATAGCTATACTATGTTCTTAATTTTACTTGATGTAAAGATATTGAACACCACGTGTTTGCATATTGTCTGCTTAATTGGAATATTAAAATGGGCAGCATTCACTTATTGAAAAAGCTTCTTATAGTTTTGTAATTAGTCTCATTAGGTTTTATTTTTATTTCATTTTGAGTTTTTGCTTCTAAATCAGTTTAGTTTCAGTCGGTTTGCCCATTTCAGTTCATTTTTTATTTATGGAAAAGTTTCTATTCATTTCAGTTTTACTTTTAGTCTTTGTTATTATTCCTGTGTGTGGAGGGCATATGCCAGTGTCAATAAACACATCTCTCAAGGCAAGTTTTTATATCTTTTTTTAACCAAAGTAACACTCAAGTTCACAAAATCATTTGTTAGCTTTAGCTTGTTTCAAAAGTCTAGTTTTTATTTTACTTTAGTTAATTGATTTTTTTAACATCTAGTTTTAGTTCAGTTTTAATAATCTTGCTTCCTGCATTATCTTTAGTTTTTCTTGAATATCTGAGCAACATTAAAAATCCAACTAAGAGTTCCCGGGTGCGGTGCCTGTCCCCAGCTGCCACTGGGTGGGCAGAGGTCCAGCATGGGGCTAACAAAAACACATATACACATGCTTGGTCAAATCTACACCTATGTCCAATTAACAACCATCGGTCAACCTTATTTCAAAGGACCAGAAATCTGTGGACTGTGGGAGAAAGCTGGAGCCACAGGGAGAAGATGTAAACTCCACACAGAAAGGTCCCAGTCGACCAGGAGGTTCAAAGCACCTTCTTGCTGTGAGACAACAGCGGTAACTTTCCTTTCATGTTATGCCCTTGTTAGTGTGGCTCCTAGCTGCTAGCCAGGACTTTAGAAAGTTTTACATTTATCTGAGGTCTCCCACACAGCGTGACACCTAGCCAACATGTGAGTAGAAAACCTCTTCAGTCCTTAATCAACTAAAAGTTTTACTTTGGTTGAAAAACATCATTAACAAAGTGAGCACAAGAGGCCATGCTGGATAGTTTTATGCTGGTTTATGAACAAGAAAGGTTATCCTGAGAACAATCCACATACATAATGGTGTAGAGATTACTGTTTCCTCAGTAGAAGATACAGGAATTTTGCTTCTTTGATTTAAATGAACTGACCAGATAAACTCATTAGCTTTGCAGTCTTGGTCTTTCCTAGTTATCTTTGTCACGGCTAATAGAAAACCGGCTTACTTCTCTGATGCTCTTCATCCAGTTCTGAATGTTTTCAAAGGACTTCTCGTCAGTGATGTCGTACACCAGGATGATGCCCTGATGAACAGAGAACAGACAGGAGAGAGAGCATTTACGGAGTCAGTCAAAGGTGCAGACTGAGCACAAAGAGGCAGTGATGTCAGCCTGATTATCCAGGCCTGATTGTCCTGGAGGCATACTGCGCTCACCATGGCTCCTCTGTAGTAGGCTGTTGTAATGGTCTTGAATCTCTCCTGCCCTGCTGTGTCCCTAGAAAAAGCACACACTTAGAATCAAAAAGGTGCTGCAAGGTCTTTAAAATACTTCTATCATATGAAAAAAACCTGGAGTATAGCAGAATGCAGAAAGATTCATTTGAGGTGAGACACTACAGGCTACAAGCTACAGGGTAAGTTTGCACTAACAGATACATTTTCCCACTAAAATACTTCCACTAAGAATTTTTTTTTTTTGCATCACAGGTTTTCTGAAACTATGTGTTAATATCAAAATGTATAAATTTAAACTTTTTTGCAAACTTTTACAGGTGAGAAATGTAAACATTCGATGAAGCCAGGATCAAAGTTCTTGTTTGTGTTTTGCTGGCATCCCAGAGCCGACGGTTTTTATAGAGGGGATTTTGGATCTCTCATTTTTTGTACTCCATAAATCAGAAAGATCTGTCAACAGTCATAAAAGGTTTATTTTCACCGTGTCTTCAGAAAAAAACTTCTATAAATTTGGTTCTGAATTATATATGAGCAAACCTCTCTTTAAAACAAGAAGAAAAACAGCAGAATAAAGAGAATCGCTCAGCAATGATTGGTGTCTGTAGGTGCTGCTGAAAAGGCGAGTTTAGGCTCTAAAATGAGGGGAAAAAAATCATTTTTGAGAAACTGTTTTGTAAAAATCCATACGTTTCTTTGCTGTAATTGTAGACAGATTACCTGCATGCATTAAGAGGAATTTATAGCAAGATTAAACACATTTACGTTTGTATTTCAAATACTTCCTTTATATTGATGTGAAAGAAGGAATCAAAACAGGCCAAATCTGACCAAAAAACCAACAAAAAATAAACGTGTTTTTGTCTGTGCTGGTATTTGACGCTGCTATATCTTCTCTAGCAGCACCCTTAAATGACATGGAGTAGCTCTCTGTGGTGGCCGTGTGTGATGGACTTGGACATGAACCCTGTCATAAAATCCTGATTTGGACAAGAAGAGGGAGGTTCCTCCTTCCTCTCAGGAAAACGAGCCGGAGGCAGTCAGAGGGCAGAGAAAGATAACTCAACAAATCAGGGTTTATCTGCCTCACCATATCACAAACCGTTTGCAGACAAACAACCACATGCCACTTCTTACCAGACTTGCAGTTTCACTTTCTTTCCATCCACTTCAATGGTTTTTACTTTAAAGTCGATTCCTGGGAGACAACAAGGGGGGGGGGCAAAGACTGCATTAAATACCCCTATTGGAGACAAAAACTCATACATTGCAGTTGATATGAGTCACCCTCACTAAGGTGGCGACACTGAACATACACCCCCTACCCCCCAGGGTGTTGCCATCCACAAGCAGACATAAAGATCAGACATACAGACCTGCAAACTGCTACAGACTGCTGTGTTTTTGTGTTTTTCTGCTGGATGGACAAGCTGACAGACACATAGACAGTGCGGGGCAGAAGAGGGGGTTGACTGTGCAAAACTGTGCATGCCAGAAAGCCAGCCATTCTTCTGGGAACGTAGAGATGGTAAAAGAGATAGGAATGAGGGTGGGTGGACCCTCTGTGAGCCAAATGAGAGGAATGAGATCTGAGGGAGAGATGGGGGAGAGGGTCCGGGAAGAGAGAGCACACACATTCAGCAGGGAGAAAAGAAAAAAAAGGAGAGAGAGACTAAATAAAGAAAAAGAAAATAAGAGAGCGCAGACTAGTTGGGACATGAAAGCAGTCCGGGAAACCAGCTCTTACAGTAAACAGAGGCAAAACGGAGCTTGAAATGTCAGCAAACATTTGTCTTGCTCATATCCCAAGTTTCACAGAAGCCAATCATAAGCTGAAGCAGAAATGTCGCAGACTGTAATTCAAACATTAAACGTACCGATGGTGGAAATGTACGTAGAGTTGAAATTGTCCTCAGCAAAACGAATGATCAGACACGTTTTTCCCACTCCGCTGTCCCCGATGAGTAACAGTTTGAAAAGGAAATCATACTTTTTCGCCATGGTCGAAGTTGTTCTTCAAGCAGAAGTCAAAGCAGGAGCGGGGAAAGTTTGGTCTGTCTCTTCACCGGAGATCTTCTCATCCACCACCAAACGCGTTAAATCTAGATTTCTTTTCCTTGTGACTTAAAATAAGCAATCTCCTGCGAGTGGATCCTCTTCTTTTTCCTCTTTTCACTCTCAGACTTGTCACCGGTAAATTCCGATCCTCCTCCGTGTTGTGTTTGGACTGCGCAGGATAAAGTTGTACAGACTCTTTCAGATCAGCCCTCATGTATTAAAGTTTCATTCCGCTGCAATTAGAGAGTCGTTATTATCCCGTTTACAAGCATATCGGGGTGGAAACAAGTTTATCCAGTCTGCAGAAATACCACTTAAAAAAAAAGAAAACGGAACTTGCTGTCGGCCCCAATCCCACAGCAGCTACGTGTGGGAGAGCTTTATGGGAGTGAACGGTTCACAGTTCGCAGGCACTCACTCAGCACGGACACTAGGTGGCACCATTTGATCAGTAAACACGTGTGTATGGACCGATACAAGTGAAAAAGTTGGTTTAAACAACATGTGCTCTTTCCTTACATCCTCCATGAAATAAAATGATATTAATAAATCTATAATCTATAATCATGGGGTTTTCTTGTTGAGAAATGCTCTTGGATAACTCTAACAGCATTGCTCAACTTTGATTCCTTCTCAGTCATTTGATTATTAAAGGAAATAATCAGGGATTGAGGTTGAAGTAAAAAATATTCAAAAACAGTAAAATGCTGCTTAAAGTCCTTCTGCATTCATGTAATTCTCCCTCACTGAAGAGTACTTTTACTTAAACCTTTACTTAAGTAACATAATGCAGGGCCTTTACTTGGAGTACGTTTTAAGTGAATACTTTGTACCCTTAATAAGACAAAGCAATACAAAGCTAACATTGTTTATGAAGCTTAATCAAATAACAACTAATGTTCTACATCCCTGCAAGAAAGAGACTGTTGGATATCAGAGTCATCGTTTAAAATGTGACCACCAAGCATGAAAGTTGGCCTCGACAGAAGAATATATGTAAAATGACACTTTCTTAATTCTGCTCAGTGCTTTTGTAGCTCCAGTCTAACCTGCACCACCTACAGGAAGAGAAGCACACTGTAACTTTCCACAGGTGTCACCTGCAGGTAACAACAGTTCCCCTCTGACTTTCTCGGGTGTTTATGTCTCTAGACCGGAGGTCATTTTAGTTCATACAGGCCGGACCACTAAAGCCAACTTAGATTTATTTATCTAATATCTCTGTTTGTGTGTTACCATCCAACCCTGCAGATCACAGCGGGTTCACAGAGGCACACTTTTTACATGTAAAGTATTTTGGAACATAACAAATTATATTTTTACTGTCCTTTATTTTCCACTCCTAGTGGATGCTGACATCATTACATTGAATTTATTTTACTGAGTGAAAAACAAACAAACAAACATGTTTTTAAAGACTTCTTTATAACGACACTTTGAAAAATCGTGCAGATGGTCGATTTGGGGCATTTGATAGCCCAGTCCTTGCTCCCCTGACTTATAACAAAAATTGTTAACTTGAGCATATTCAGACGGACACACTTAAGGATTTAAGCTCGCGTGTTTCACGTGTAGATGATGAGGGGTCTGATCTACTTTTCAACAATTCTAATTGTTGAAAAAAGTATTTAAATTACAGGATAATCGTCTGCTTTGTCAAGAAAACTCTATACAGTTAGAAGATTTAATCAAATGCGACAGAAAAACATGAAAATTGTATTCACGGTGTATTTACACGATTAAGTTATTTTCAAGCATTCATTTGATGTTATCTAACGAATAATTTCACGTAAACACCGACGAGTATTTTTATTTTTTCTTCCTCCCAGTCAGTCAGCAGTTTCCGGTACGTGGACAGCGGGTCTTTTTCCGGTGAGAGTCCAAACACGCAGACATGCCTGTAAGTAACAAAAGCGTCTTTGTACCTACTAACTTGCCTCAGTCGATAAAGTGTGCTTTTATAACGCGGTTAAAATATTTTACAGCTTAAAAAGTGCGTTTAAAAAAAAATCCGTCAGCAGTTTTTTTTCCTTTAATGTAAACGTAAAGATGTGAACGAGCGCAATATGGCGAAACACGTGCTCAACGAGCAACCCACGAGGCTCGCTGACAGCACACGGTATCGCTTTAAGTCTCAGCATTGAGTGTATTTAATGTCTTTATTGGGGAGGAAGCTGGTTAATGTCGCGCATTAATGTTAGTCAGCAGTCTGATAACTGGGTGTCGTGCTCGTCTGATTACCTGTGACATATGTTGGGTGTTGTGGGGGTTAATTAAACTCTTAACGATGTTTCATCTGATTGCTTTTTTTTTAACGGCATCGCTGCGATTGCTTCAAGAGTATTCCGATAATTTCATTTTAACACTTTCCAGTTTCCTTATCCGAGAAGTGTATCGAGGTCTCGACCTTTGCCTCGCTGTAACTGAGGCCTACAACCGCAGCAGTTTAATTACATGTTAAAGCACCTTCCGGTTAATTTTTTTATTAATAATTTATTTATTTATTTTCAAAGCTCGTGTTTAAAATAAAATAAAATGAAAAAAAAAATGTTGCTTTCCTCCCCCAGCTCGCGAAGGATCTTTTGCACCCAACCCCCGAGCAGGAAAAGAGACGACACAAGAAAAAGCGTCTTGTTCAGAGTCCTAACTCCTATTTTATGGATGTCAAGTGTCCAGGTCAGTTTACTTATGAGTTGTACTTAAGATTTAAATGGAAACATGTCCACTAACAATAAGCACATTTGCTTGAGTTCTGCAGCTAATTACAGTTTTAAATCAAAGTGGTGTATTTCCCATTTGTAAGTCATGGTGCAGGAGAAGTATTTATTTGGGTAATTTAATGTTTTGGAAAACCTTTGAGCACTTCTTCCACTCCTGTGCTACACTTGCCTTTATGTGTTGCCCTTTCATTGCTTCGTTAGTGATTGGGGTGTCAAGTAAGGCATACAGTGACGGTTGTGGCCGTTTGTGACATGAGCTTCAAGTGACTCTTCTACACAAACGGCTGCAAGGACACACCAGTCATCAGGAGTACTCCTGACATCATCTTGTTGTTGTTGTTTAACTGGTTTGTGTGCTGTTTGCAGGGTGCTACAAGATCACCACAGTCTTCAGTCATGCTCAGACTGTAGTTCTGTGTGTCGGCTGCTCCACGGTCCTGTGCCAGCCGACAGGAGGGAAAGCTCGCCTGACAGAAGGTACAGGGAAACCAGAAATCTCAACTATATGTGTAGAACTACACAAATGGCGAGAGGGGGGTGGTGCTTAAAGATTTAAATTTGGGATTCTTTTGGAGGATTCTCTAATGGCAACGATGGAGAGGGGAAACAACTTTTAAAAGCTTGTTTTTAAAAACATTTTCAGGAGTTTTTGTCTAAATCTAATATTTTTTGCATTTGATGCAAATTTAGACGGAAGCTACTTTTAGCTGCCCCCATGTTTGTTTCGGCAGAGTTGTGTTGGGTGGTGTTCTTCCTGATGTAATCTAGATTTGTCTCCCCTCTGGGGTGACGGTTACTCTGGATTGGCACTACGTAAATAAAACTGAATTATATTTTAATGACCCAAGGCAGAAGCTTTTCCCTAAATCCCCAGATTTTGTGGCCGGAGATGAGTGGTCGAACTTGACTGTACACATGCTCAGTTACTCTTTCACATTTGCCTTTGTGTTGCCCTTTCATTGTTTTCTTCATGAACAGGGTGTCAACTAAGGCATACAGTAACTCTTGTGGTTGTGAGAGGAATTCATCATCACTGATCTATTCCTACACAATCGGCTGCAAGCACAACGTTTCATTTACACACATTTATTTTATTTTTTTCAGATTAACAGGTAGGCCCAGTATAGATTTAAGGTGATAGGTCTCCTTTAAAGAGGACATGAAATGAAATGGGGAAAATCCAGCTGTTACCTGTAATATTTGGGTTTGTAAAGCACTGTATAAATGAGGAGCGATTGGAGGAGAGCCTGTTTGAGTCACCAGGCCGACAAGTTGGAGTTCAGCATTTCCAGCTTTTCCTCATCAGGCCGGGTGTACCGAGCTGTGCAGTCAAGCAAAGCAGATGTTCGCATGATGCGATCAGCACTTTTTTTTGTGCAATAAAATATTTTCTTTTCCCAACACAGCCAAGCAGTTTATAATATTACTCTACACAAGTCACTACATGTGCGTCACACCAAAAACATAACTATTTCTTAACAAATGCAACTGGAAATCCCAACATTCATCAGCATGTACGCAGGGAAAAAATCTCCACCTTATAGTTTCCTTCACTTACATTTCCTCACTTCTAAACTGAAGTAATCCAGTCAGTGAGATGACGTGAGGAAAATACAAAAGATCTCCAAAAAGTATGGCATCTCTTCCTCTGAGCCTCGACTACTTTTTTTTTTTCTTCTTCTTTTCCTTCCTTTTGCACACGTTGACCTATTTTCCCTGCAGACGTGATGGGATTCCTGGTCGTGCTTCGCTAAGAAACATAGTTATATTTGTGGTGTGTATGTAGTGGCCTGGATGTGCTTGGGAAGAGAGACATTATTTTATTGCATAATATAGTACTGATCACATCAGCTGATTGCACCGCTCAGCCCGACACCCGGCCCGATGAGGAAAAATCAGTTTCTGTTGGTCCGTTTAACAACCTGTCACCTGTATGTAAATTAGCCTTTATGTGTAGCGTTTCATGTCCTCGGGGTTCAAGGTTCAATTTTACTGATATTGTCATCGTCACAGCCACCCCACGCTGCTGTGGTAACAGGAGCTTCTTAGCAGGAACTCTGAGCAATAAAACCACGAGTGTGGTGGTGATTCAGCCTTTGTGAAGGCAGATGGTAGCATGAGCTTCACTGTTAGGTGAATGTCTTCTTGTTAGGGAGTCAGTTGATACACCTTGCTGCAAGATTGGCCGTTTTTATAGGCTGTCGATATTTATGGAGGATTATAAGGTTATAATATAACCAAGACTTCTCTAAGTGTTTTATAATAAAGCTGTCTTGTTGATTTCTATCAGTGTCTGAGCCACAATCTCTCGCCTCTTTCTTTAGGATGCTCATTCAGGAGGAAACAGCACTAACCTGATCAGATGGGGTTCGACATCCTTGAGAAGAGTAAGAACTTGATGGACATCAAGTGACACTGCCATAGAACTGATGCAGGGAATGGGAATGGCTAAATCATGTAATATAAGAGGGAGTCTATCTACTTAATATGCAGAAAAATGCCTGGCCTTGTTGAGAGACCACCAACAGCTTATATGATTCATTGTTCACTTTAAATAAAGTTTCATTTGATAAATAATCTCATTAGGTATCTTTCAACTCACCATTTTATCTGGAAAAAACACAGCTTTTGTCCGCTGGCAACCCTTTAAAGATGACACGATGCATGTGGGGTTTCTGTTTGTCTTGCATTTGTTTGCATTACACCCTTCATCAACTAAGTAATGATTTACAGGAAGGTGTGGTCAGAGATGAGGCCCAGCACTAGATGCAAAGTTCCTCTGGAAACAAGGGGGCCAGCTCTAGAAAAGGAAGCAAACTGTGGCTACGTCTCAAGAAAGTTGACTTGACTGCAGAGTTTTCTTGTGTAAAAAGGGCACTCTGCATGAATAATTATTAATACATTTCTTGTGTCTTATGTTTTAATGCCACAGTGATGTCAGCACTATAAAGTAGGCGATGATGTCAGTGGCATCAGTGCAGGGTTCCCTCAGTCTGAATGAGGGTCTATTCAGGGAAGGACACTGTTTGCTCTGCTTTTTTTTAAAAAAAAGAAGTTAATTAAATTTCAATGAACAGTGTGGTTGTGCATTTATGTGTGCTTGCGAGCTTTCTGTGCAAATGATCATGTGGGATGAATTCTTGTCAGGTTGTGAAAAATCAGTTGCTCTGAAAGGGCTGACACTGCAGGAGCAGGTTGTGGCCGCAGGTTACTCTCACCTTGCGCGCACGTAGGCCCTGTGCACAGCCTCTGTGACAGCAGTGATTTGTACACTGAATAAATATGAAAATTAAATCAGGAGACGGAGGGATTTGATAACTTTGTTGTTGCTATGGTTACATTTTTATTGTTTTGCTTGTATTGGACACTAACAAATAAAATTATGGTAAACAGGAAATGAGATTCTGGTGTGGCTTGTGTTTATTGAATGACGAACACAGGATAAGATTTGTATTCTATATGATCTCTTTTTAATATTAATGTCACTATCACCATTCTAATTTAATATTTTATTCATACTTTTAATCATATAGTACCCTTATACCACCACTTTTTCACTATTCAAATATAAGGGGTTTAGATTTAATGTGTAGGCTTTTACAAAGGTGCAGTACTTTTTTATTTCACTTTTTTATTTAGCTTTTCTTGTTTGATAAGCTACTTGATACTAACCTATGAATCATTCAATCATAAAATGATACATAACCTGTGGGATTAACCAGTCATGTGTCTGCACAAAACAGACAGCTTTGCAAAGAACCAATTTTAAATAGCATGTTGTTACTAGCAGCAAGTTGAATACCCAATAACCAAATTTCCCTTGTGGGACAATTAAAGGATTATTCTATTCTATTCTAATGAACATGAAACATGCCAAAGATGACATCGTTTGAAAGGAATAAAATAGTATTTCTGCACCAATAAGGTGATTCCCAAAGACCTATCAGTCGTAATCTTGGCGTATCTGTCAGATACTACAGGCAAATTCTGATCCACCATGCAATACTGTTGTGAAAGCATCTTCAATGATCCCAAACAAACTGCCAATTTATTAGAAGCACCCGAATAAGAAAACACACAACAGAACATCATCATTCATGGATCGACCTCACCAGAGCGTAGACCCCAACCGACATTTCAATAAATCGCTGCATCTATTTTCCATTTTCCTGGCAAAACAACTCACAAAAGCCCCAAACCTACATATCCAGGAAAATAAGTCCAGTAACTGAAAGCCTGTGGTTTTACCATACTGTCACACCTGAGCACAGTAATGATAAGCTTACTGGTTTACTGCAGGAGAACCCATGAATCTGACCACGAGGCTGTCATAAGGTCACTGACTATTTTGATGTATGTCTGCTCAGTGTAATTATACTGGGGGAGTGGAGACGGGGTCTGAACTCTACTCGGTGAGGTGGTGACATTCAGTGGATTCAGCTGTGGAAATCTACTCAAGAGAAAGTATGGCTGTCACTATGTGGTCATGTCATAAAAATAAATAGAAAAAGAAGAGCCAAACCTGTCCACGGCTGAAAAAGTTGTTTTAATAACAACTTCTCTGAACTACTGAAATTTAACACTAAATATTGATTTACTCAGAACCTCTTAACAGTAACAGGGAGAGAGAGAGGCTAGACTGACTTATTTCAGACAGGATAAACTGAGATTCTGCGCAAAAGCATGGTGTAAGACAAATAAGGATTACTTTGAACTGTGAGTCATGCAAAGCCACTCTAGTATAGCTCAAAAAATAAAACTATGGAGCAGAAAAAGAGCACCATAGGTTAACTCCAATGAATGTCCAGGTTGCTGAGTTTGGATACTTACCATATAACCTCAGTGTCACCAAAGAAATTTCTGCCCCTCACTTATGTCGGTCTCCAGACTGCAATCAATGAATGGATGAATGAGAGAGAATAATTAACTATTGTTTGGAGCTCAGGCATCCACTGAACACTGACCTATATTTGAAATTTTAACAGCAGGAATTTAAATGTTACATCCACAACAATTCCACTTCTTTCAGCTTCCAAAATGAGTCTTTACTCGAAACAATGGAAGCAGATAATGAATGTCTGTCAAAGAAATTACATGATGTCAAGAAGACTGCAGTTCATCTTCCCTCTGTTTTGATTGATTTTTCACTCACGCTTTAGTTTTTTTTTTCCACAGTGAATTTCATAAATGTCCTAAGTTGTGGGTAAGTACACGAAGGGCTCAAATAATCTATTCTGTGGATGTTTGCGTGACATACCGATGAAAGCATGTTCTTGCTGCCCATCACCGTAAACTCAACCCCAGGCTGAGTGACAGGGAGCAACACAGATCGGTGGAGTGCCAACAGGTCGGGCAGCACCTCTGGGACACCTGAGAGCAGCTCTGACAGAAAGGGAACTGACCTCACAAAGAGAGGCCCCATCAAGAGCAGCTGGTAACAAACCCCTCCTGAGACAGACACAGTGACTGTCCGTAAACAACTGCAGGGAATGAATGACGGGGGAAGAGTTTGTTAGCAGCAAGCCATGAATTGTCAGGGCTGACTGTAAAAATGCAAAATTGAAGGTAGGGGGAGCTAAAGTGCAACACTAACTAAGCTTTCTTACAAGATGGTGCATAAGAGTGACACATTAAGAGTGAAAGGATGGAAAAAGATGCATGCTCATGGTAATTTTTCCTCACATGCTTTAGTTTCATGTGTGCTTGAAACCCTCTCACCACCACCACCATGACGTGTTTGTCTGCAGAGGTTAAAAGAGTAGGGACTGTGGAAGCTTCCATTTCACCCAGAAGACAGAGGATATGAGCCCATTGATTAGATACTAGCAGCCTAAACTCTACCCATTTGTGCTCATTAAATTTCTCTACCTGTAGCAAACTTTCCCTCTTCCAAGATGCTATAGGTCTGCCCTGTAACGCCTGATTAAATACCCATTGCTGACCCTTTTGCTTATTAAAGAGTGTCATGCATTCTCCTTCTGGACTGATGTAGAGATGGAAAACATTAACATATTGGGGATTATAGTCACTAAGGGAGGTGTTATTGGCCCTGCTGAAAATCTTTGTTCTGCAAAGTCTGGACACCAAAAACGTCTGTCAAAATCTGAAGTAATCAGCGTCAGGTCATCTCTGAGTGGGAGGCAGAGTGGAGGATGGGACAGGAGGATCGATAGAGAAGGGCAGAAAAATCACTGAAAGACATGGCAGATGACTTTTTATAGTATTGATCTAAGCAGTTTGAATTCTCTTTTCAGCGTTAAATTTGGCAAAATGAGAGCTGCAGTAGAATGAAAAATTGACATGAAAGAAGGCTGTTGAGAAAGAAAGAAAAATCCAGAGCCAGAAACTGTGGAGAAATTAAACGAGCGTACAAGAAAGGCTGTGGGGGTGTGTGCGTGTTGTGAGCGTAGCTCTACTGACCAAGGTTATCGCAGAATAGTGACTTATAACAAAGGAAAGACGGGCTGACTGGGCCCTCCCACGCTGTAGCAGAAGCACAAACCACTCTGGTGAGACACAGTTCATCTGTACACATATGTCTCTTTGTTTGAGTTTTCCCTTTGCCAAGGCCAAAGTCATTACACATCATTAGTATACCCTACTTAATTAACTGACCTGAACACTTATGAACAAGGTCTGGCTGACCCTACGCCTCCACAGCAACGACCTCCAGCAGAGGAGAGTCAGTGTTTGAGCCACTAGTCAGCATCCCCTGGGAGCCCACAGTGACAAGTCGTGTCCTGTCACATGCTGACACAAAGCGTGGCGCACAGGCCAGATGGCATCTCTGGGACACAAGACAACAACAACACACAAGTTATGTCAAACAGACTTCTGGGTATTTTTTTTGTCAGTGTCCAAAATGTATCCCAAGATTTTATTTATTTTTGTTAGCTGAAAGTAACCAGCTGGCACGACTAAAACTCAAAAATGGAAGAACTGTTTATTTCCAGATGAATGTTTTAATTGTGTTTGGAAGAATAACTGGGAGAAAATGTGAGAGAAGCAAGATTAAGAAATGATCCATTCCAAAATGGAGGTAGTAATTGTGCAAAACACAATTGCAAGCACTCTCAGTTTAATTTATTATCATATGGACACTTAATATCGACAAATGATTTTATTATCATCCAGTCTTCCCCACTCCTGATTGTTCTGCCACTATAATAGGGACTGTTTACCTTAAACCTTATAACAAGAGTACCTTAGTCATACTGTGCTACAGAGAGAGCTAAAATCTTTATATGTGAAGTTAAAAATGTGGTAAAGAGGATGAAATGTAAAAGCACAGCCCCCTGCCAGGTCATGTCAGGAAAGCTAGTTTCAGGTGTTGTTGTTCTTTGCTAAATATCTTTTACTATCGCAGAATAGTAACCCCTCACGTCCACAGTCACAAGGTCAATGAATTAGTAAACATATGCTTAATGATACACAGCTTATTTTAAAGTGTTTTATGTAAAGTCAAGTATTGCAATTCTGCATTTGAGCACCAATTTACGCATTTAGGCTCATCGGGCTTCATTAATTTGTTCATTGTTTATGCCCACACGTCACAGATATCTGGGACCTTTCCATGCAGGGAAGCACAAAACACACAATAATAGGCAGTTTACCGTCTCCAGTCCACCTGACCTACATTTGTCTGGAAAGTAAGAGAGCACCACAGCAGCACACCGGCAGAGAGACAAGCATATCAAGAAGAATGCTACAAACAAAACACAACACAGACAAAAATGGTCACAGTCACAGTATACTGTGCAACAAAGACAAGCGTATTCATGTATTTATCCTAAATTTTGATGTCACCCCTCTCAGGAAAATAACTATAACCTATTGTGCAATCCAAAACCTGGAACAGTCACATCTACAATTAAAGGGAACTTTATTACAAGATAATAAGAGAAGTCTTCACATAATCAAGTTCACTTTTCTCACATTACAAAAATTCCATCTGATGAAATGTGAAAGCTCGTGCCCCTGGCAGGTCATGTCAGGAAAGCTGCAGAGGTCTCAGGTGGTTGTGCTCTGCTAAACATCTTTTACTATCTCAGAAT